GTTCCAAGAGGCCAGAGAGAGTTAGATTAGGCTGAAGTTGTCAGCAGTACAACCACATGAAAGTTACCAGTGACGTTTTATTAATATTACCAAACCCATATTCAAACCCCAAAGAAGTGAAGACATTCAGAAGCTCAATTTTTAATTAATTTCCTAGACCAAAAATATAACCTGTAAGTCTATGATATATGCTGAAAATACCTATTTTCGCCTCCTTGAATTATCAGAAAATAAACACACACACACTGATTAGGAGTATGTCCACTTGTTTCCTAGAATATATCCAAAGAACTGGTAATGAAATTCTTACTTCATCCTAGGTGCAGTCATGTATGTATGTACGTATGTATTTATTTATAGAATTATTTGTATTCTGCTTTTTGGCCTTTAAAAAGCACTCTATACCAGTGACATTGAAGACAAAAGAAAAAAGGCATTGCCCACTTTCTATGAAGGAGCCCCATTGTTTAAAGTGGGAAGATAGAATACTTCCCAGTTAACAGATAACATTCCAGAAGAATGGTTGCTGCAAATTATCCAGCTGAAAAGCACCATATCCATTTTTTTCAAGATGAAGGTCAAATAACTTCCTATTAGTAGACCTCATCCTATGTGATCACCTCAGTTTGTCAATCCAGCCTGGTTCAGTTTCTTATTGCTCCCCCATTTTTAGACCAAGGTTTGGATTTGGAAGGATGTGGCAGAATTCCTTCCAAGAGTTATTTTCCTTAACAGCTCTGAAGGGAGAGGATAGTAGGCAAGGAGTGGGGCAGGGAATACCAGAGCAGTGCAGCTACTACACTGGAGGCTTTTCTCTGGGTGGACTCCAGATGAACCACAAGTTTTTAGGGAACACAGAAACACAGACTCAGTGCCAGGCAGATTGGTAAGGCAGAAGAGACTGTCTCAAGCATTTTGCCCCAAAGATAGGACTTGATAGGCTAGTAACTTACTTGATTCAAATGACACACAGCTCTGTCTTCCTGGGACATCAGCATACCGATGGCACTTGACTTCAAATTTCCTAATGACCACTCTCAGTGACTATATATTATTTAGCAGCATATAGATATTAAACATCACTGGGGACAATGAATCCCACAGAACCCCATAGCTCAGTTGGCAATGGGCCAAGGATGAGTCACCCAGTGTCTCTGAAATTGGTCCTGCAAGTAGGACCAGGTCCACTAAAATAAAAGCTCAGGTAATGTGCATACCACAAGTTAGGAAAGGTAGCACCAAGTCCAAGAGGTCACTGGCATTGTGAATCAGCAGTGTCAAGAAGCTATTAGATGAAAGAAGGCTTCCTTTAGAAAATGGGAGTCTTGCCCAAATGAGGAAAACAAAAGTGAGCACAAGCTTGCAGAAATGAGATGCAAGCAGATAAGAGATGCAGGCAAACAAACCAAAAACCCAAGTAGCATACCACCACCAACATCAAGACCAACATTAAAGAATTCTTTAAATATAATAGAAGAAAGAAACCTGCTAGAGAGGCAATTGGATCACTGATGTTAATGGAATTAAAGGTTAAATGAAAGTAAAGTAGATTAAGGAGATTGCAGGTTAAGGAGCTTAATGAATTCTTTTCATCTGTTTTCATAGCTTTTACTGGGAATCTGAGTAATTAGGGCAGATAGTGATGACGAAAGATGAAATTTTCAACCTTATTGACAAACTGAAAGTTAATATGTCACCAGGAGAAGATGGGGACGGGACCAAGTGGGGGGTTCTGATGGGGTAGTTCAGCATAGTGATGGATAGGAGGAGATATGGCCTTGGGTGGAGTGCTAGCCAGGTAAAGGGAGCACAGCCCAGGCAATAAATGACTATGCCATGTTCTGGCCCTGTTCCCAACCGCAGGTTCAGTGGCTACCTTATCAGCCTGTTCTCATGTCTCCAGATGCTGCTTTTAAATGTCCAGTCAGTGCACAATGAGACCTCCCTCATCATTGATTTAACAGTGGATGAGGCAGCTGATCTGGCATGCATAATGAAACCTGGGAGGGTGAACAGGAGGTCATGAACTTCCCAGGGAGCTTTGGCTGCTGGGTAGCGTTGCAATAAAATAAATATATAAATGTATGTATGCTCTAGGCAAATTGTTTGAAGTTTTATTAAAGACAGAATAAATGAGTACAGAGGGACAAGCCCTGATGAGAAAGAACCAACATGGGTTCCACAAAGGCAAATTCTGTCTCACTAACTTATTACGTTTCTTCGAGAGTGTCAAGAAACATGTGGACAGGGGTGGTCCAGTAGACATTGTTTACATGGACTTCCAAAAGGCTTTAGACAAAGTCACTCACTAAATACTCCTGAGCAAACAGAGCACTCACAGAATATAAGGAGGTTGTGTGTCTTCTTATTGATTAGTAACTAGTTAAGCAAGAGAAAGCAGAGAGTAAATAATAATTTCTCCCAATGTAGGGATGCAAACAGAAGGATCTCACAGGGTTCTATAGTAGGACCAGTGCCTTTCAAACTATTCATAAATGATCTGGAATTAGGAGTAAGCAGTAAAGTGGCCAAGTTTGTTGATGATACCAAATGATTTAGGATGGTTAAAATGTAAAGGGATTGTGAGGAGCTCCAAAGAGAGCTGAGAGAATGGACATCAAAATGGCAAATGCTACTCAGTGTAATCAAACATAAAATGCACATTGGGACAAAAAATCCAGACCTCACATACAGGCTGATGGGATCTGAGTTAACAGTGATAGATCAGGAAAGGGATATTAGCTTGTGGTGGAAACTCAAAAATTTTGACCCAATATGCAGCTGCTGTGAAAAAAAGTAAACTCCATGTTATTCACAATCAAGAAAGAAACTGAAAATAAAACTGTCAAGGTCGTATTCCCCTAATATAAATCTTTGGTGTGAGTGGACTTAGAAAATTGTATACAGTTCTGGCTTCTGCATGTGAAACAGGACAATGAGTTGGAGAAACTGCAGATAAAGGAAACTAAAATGATCATGGAGTTAGAGCAACTCCCCTATGAAGGTAAGTAAGAAAGGTAAGTAAGGGGAGAGATGATTAAAGTGAATAAAATCACTTTAATGATTTTAATGCATGGAGATTACTTTTTCCCATAATAATAAAACCTGGGGTCATCCCATTAAGCTGAGCGGAAGAAAATTCATCACAAATAAAAGGAAGTATAGTTGGCCCTCCACATTTGCAGGGGTTAGGTGGGCAGGTCCCCTACAAAAGTGGAAAAGTTCTGACTATCTCTAGCTCCCCACCAACTCTGAATACTGTGACCACAGTACTGGATTGCTTCTTCCTCCCTCTCCTACACCTTGATCTGATCCAGCAGGGCTTCTCTTCTTCATGTATTACATCCATATGTTCTTATTCCCCGCCCTTTCTTTCACTCACCAGTGCCTCCTCTTTGCACCAAAGAAATGCTGGTCAGATTTCCCTCTCCAGATGAGTGGGGCAAGAAGGCATGCTTTGGAGGCCCTCCCTCTCTCCCCTTTTGCTTCCTCTCTAGAATGATGATGATTTTCTGCACTAGGCTGCAAAACTCCGAAAAAATATTTTCCTTTTAATTACTGATGAAAAAATCATGAATAATCGAATTTGTGAATGTTACAACTTGCAAAAGCCAAGGCTAAACTGTACCTGTTCATACAATTCATAGTGAAACTATGGAATTCACTGCCAGAGGAGTTCCTGATGGCCACAAAAGTGGACTGGACAAATTCATGGAGAAAAAGGCTACTAGTGACTAGTAGTCTTGATGGCATGTGCTACCTCTCATTTCAGAGGCAATATGTCTGTGTACACCAGTGCCCGGGGATCTTGGGCAGGAGGGAACTCTTGTATTTATCCTGCTTGAGAGATCCTGTGGGCTGCTTGTTTGCCACTGTCTGAATGGAATGCAGGACTAGATGGACCATTAGTATGATCCAGTATGGTTTTCCTTATGTACTTATAACACAGTGCCTCCAATGCCCATTGCCCAGAGCATGGAGTCAATCCAAGAGAATACCATGACTGCTGGGACTGAAAACCGATGAAAGACTGAGCAGAATTAACAGGGTCACACTCCTCCACTTCCTCCCCCACACCATAAAGGTTATCTATCAGGATGGCCTGACCTGGGTCCATAGCTAGGATAGCTAATTACAAGGCATGCTATTTAGTTTGTATTTTGCACAATAAAGGGTCCTTAGCTGTGCTGATGTTTTCTTGCACACAGATCAGGATGGAACATGTATATCTTCTTCTTGCTCAGTTACTTGGTCATGGTAGTGGCAGTGCAAGCACCTGCTGAGCTAAATTGTAGGAATCTGTCCCTGCTCTCCAGGCTAGGAAGAATATAATCAATGGGTCAATTAGAGTTCTCCAAAGTTCTCTCCCAATTCAAAGTTCTTTCCCAATCCATGCAAGATTCAGCAATGAAAGGAAACAAGAGAAGTCAGTTCTTCAACATCTGGAGTTTATCTGAAGAGCTCAAATACTAGTCGGTTCTCTTCTGGCTAGGCTAGGCTAGTCTTGAAAGAATTTGAAAAATTCTGCTTCTGAGCAAAAGAAGGTGCTATCTTGCAGATTAAAGACAGACGAAATTAGTATAGGAGGAGAAAGTAACATGTGAAGTGACCCTAAATTTAGTGTTTCAGAGTACTCATAAACCTGCATTGCAAATTGTCATCTTTTGCCTTAAATTAGCAATTTCTCTGCTACAGTTTGAAAAATGCTGTCATACTCCGGGCAGGCAAGTTGATTCATTTAATGTGAAGATGGGGAAGGAGAAAGGAAGTGGCAGCTTAATTCGACAGCAGTAGGGTATAGCTGCTTGGAGGGGAAAAGGGAATGAGCAAAATTTGAATTAAATCCTAACACTGTAAGAGCAGAAGCAAGTATTATTTATTTCTATTCTCATTTTAAACAGAAATAAAGCCCCACAAAATAAAAACAAACTCTAAAACAAAACATCACTTTCAAACAAATATTTTTTGTTTCATTTTAGTTCTTCCCTCATGCTTCCTACCTGTGAAGATTTGGCAAACTTCTGAGCATATTCCTTTTCAATCTGCTTCAACCTGCTGTTTGCCTGAAATACACACACAAAAAGGAAACTAGATTATCTCAGATGAAGAACGTGTACAGACATTTTGCCACTGACCCCTATTGCCTGGCACCTCGTCCACATGCCTATCACTAAGCAGCCGGGAGCTCTGCCAATTCCAACGCCCTTTTGTGGCAGCCAAAAAAACCGCTAGGGCTTGTCTTTGATCTAGGGCCAACTATTCATCACTTGAAAGAGCGGAGGGGGGTGAGGGAGGAGAATAGTACCTCTGCTGCCAATTATTAGAAAAACATAAAGGCCTCTGTGGATTTTTTAAAAAAGAGGCTGGGGGTGGAAAGGAGAGACAGAGTTTATCAGGATGACTTCATCTCAGTGAGAAGAAGAAAAGGAAAGAAAAAAATAGCCACAAGCTCCACTGGAAGCTGTGAGGGTACAATGTGATACATACTTTATGATTTTGTGTGCCAGCTGATGCCTGCAAGTTTCCTTTGTCATATTCTTACTTTCTTCTTCTTCTTCTTTTTACTAAAAGCTGGCTGCATTAAAGTAAAAATCCAATATGCTATGCAACCATTTGGTCCTCCTTTGACCCACAACACTCACTCTCTTGCAGGCGCTCCCTCTTTATCTATCTAGCATATCTTTTATATCTCAAAGATAAAGTATAAAGCTATTTGGAAACAGGAGTTCTTTGTTGTTTTGATACCACATGCAATTGAGAAGGCAGTGTTCCTGAAATACCCCCCCTCTCTCACATACACACACACAGAACACTAAACTTCTCTACTATTTTTCAAGCTTATGCGGGCCACAATTTTGAAATAAAAATATCTTTTAATAACCTGCCCCAACAAAAATATCCCATAATTACAGTCACATAAGCACGCTCTATTCTTTTATTTCTTGATATGAAATAGAAAGCAATATATTCAGAGAAAACATTTGTGGGTAGCATGGCCCATTGGCTATGATCCAGTCACTCAGATCCATGGGCTCACCTGTCCTCCTACAGAGCAGAGCAGCACTTGGCACATCGTGCCACAGGCAGCCGCTGTGCTGACACAGCACACTTTTCTTTATGAATGGTGACAAACTTGTTTGGAAACCTGTTAGAAAAAGTGTTAAGTCAAAGCCACTGATTCTGCAGGTAAAGCTATGCCTTCCCTTCAGTGTTCAATTCTGCAGCTTTATATGAAGAACCATGTATATGGTACTCTTGGCACTCTTCTGTATATGAAGAGTTCTATGGCCTTTGCCAGCAGTGAACGCCAGTGAAGCTCAAAGAGCACTGTGCTGCTACAGTAGACCACACACAAGCAGACAAGGACAGAGTTAGGGTCTATAGAGTCCCTTCAATATCTGACAGAGGAAAATAGGGGCACATTCTTATTAAGCCTACCTACAGTCAAACAGGTCATTTTTTCCAGAGGTTGTCACCTCTGGAGTGGCTACGCACCCCCTTCTGTGGCAAAAACAAGACAGAATCTTGTGGCAGCTTAAGAGACCCACATTTCTTGTGGCATAAACTTCTTTGGACTGCAGTTCACTTCATCCGAAAGCATAAAATATTATCTGCAATTGGCAAGCATTCCATACATACGCATGGTTAGAGAGGGGGGAAAGTTTTAGCAGTAGGGTCAGAGGTAAATGGAAGACAAGAAAGGCAGATTGTGAGAATTATATACAAACTCAGACTTATGTGAACTGAATACAGTGACTATTATTAAAATAGAAGATAACGCAAACCTTTGGCACTGCTAGGGTATTTAACAATTCTAGCAGAATGATCCCAGTTCAACCCTCATACAGGACTGAACTTTTTGTGTTAATTCAGCAGGCTCACAGTGGAATATCTCTTTTAATTTGCTTTGTTCAAGAACAGCCACCTCAGCAAAGAAGCATTCTGGGAGACAGAAAGGGTCTCCTATTGGTTTTACAGATTACTCTTCTTGTTATCAGAAGTGTGTCAATGTATTCTTGTATATAGAGATGGGTTTATTAGTTCTGTGTAGAATGCAGAAAGGCATTGCAGTGGAAGATAGCATATACCACACAGAAAGACAAGCAAATGAAGAAACCCTTAATGTTGGAGCTGACATTATTGGTGTTGCCTAAGTAGATAATCTAAGCAGATTATTTTCTGTGAAACAATGGAAATAATGTGTCTCTTACTGCTCTCACTTAGGAACTGCAGAAACAACAATCTCTTCTTAGAATATATGTATAAATGAAAAATTGACTGTATTAAACTGAAAGCAGTGTGAGGATGAAACCGCTGTACAAATCAACTGAAACATTTCAAAGCGTTTATAATACTTATATTGTACTCTTACACAGAGTGCCAACAGTGTCCAATCCAGATTACTGATCACGTCATTACCTGCTTAGCAATGCAGCCATCCAATTTCTGTAAAGTCAAAGCTGGTCAATCCTGTGGTACAACTTAAATTACTTTTTTGTTTGTTTGTTAATACTTTTCACACAGTTTTCATGTAGTATGTTTAAGTTCCATATCATCCAGGCAAATACAGACAATCTCTAATCTTTCTACTCACTTTAGCAATATCAGAAGAACAAATACCTAACAGCATTATTAATATAAAGGGATATACAAATTGGTAAATACATCAACTATAAAAAAGCACCAATGAGTTATCAGTATGTATAAAAATAGCATTCTCTCCTATTGCAAATATACCCTTCTTGGGCAAGGTGTTTGAGTTGGTGGTGGTCAGGCAACACCAAGCATTCTTGGATGAAATGGATTTTGTGGATTATCAATTGGGCTTGAGGCCTGGTTTTGGAAGAGAAAGCACCTTGCTTGTTCTGTGGGATGTCATTTGCCAAGGAAGAGAGAGGAGGAGTGCCCTTGGTGTCCTTCTGGAAAGATTGGCTGGATTAGGAGCAGGAGGCACCACTTTGTGGTTCCACTCCTATGTGGCTGATAGTTTCTAGAAGGTGGTGCTGGGAGATTTTTGCTTTGTGCCATGACAGTTGTGCCATGGGGTTCTTCAAGGCTTGACCTTATCTCCCATTTTTTAAAACATGTACATTAAACCGCTGGGAGAGGTCATCCAGAGATATGGGCTGAGATGCCACCAATATACTCTGCTCTGCTTCTCTTTTTCATTAGACCCAAGTGTGGCACTGACTGTTCCAAATCTGTGCCTGAACTCTGCAATGAGTTAGATAAGGGCCAATAAACTGAGACTCAATCTGGACAAGATAGATGTATTGTTGGTGTGCAGAGTGTCCATCCAGTGGGAAGATTCTCAGGGCCACGCTCTCTCTGAAGGACAAGGTCCATAGTTTGGGGGATGCTTCTAGACCTGGAATTGTCACTGGCGTCTCAAATGGACTTGGTGGTTAAGAGCACCTGAATGAGCTATGGCTGATTCACCAACTGTAGCCTTACCTGGACAGACAAATGTCACATAGCATTTATACCTTCCAGGAGCAAAGAAAACACACTCAAGATTTTTGTTTCTCTTATCAGAACAACTGGCCATGGTTATCCATGCTCTGGTAACCTCTTTCTGTATGTGGGGCTGCCTTTGAAAATTTCAACTGATTCAGAACAGGGCAGCCCATGAACCTGTATCAGGCCAGTCCTCTATTGATCAATCATACAGAAAAGTACAAGTTCACAATTTAGCAGCTAATGAAAACAACTTATAATTATTATGTTGCATATCTAACTTAGTTCACAGTAAGAGCCAAACTACATAGTAGCCACAATTTTCTCTTACATGCTATTTCAAAACCCAGAAAACAAGGTAGTTAACTCCACTGGCAAGTCAACCAGGAAACATGGTCAAACACACTGTTGCAAGGAGGCCCAGTTAATGATCTTACTTTCAGTTTCAGCCACTTTATGAAACCGTTATTGTACATCTGGCTGAAATATTTTAACTGAGTACACTCTTTAAACTGATTAAGCCAAGGCAGAACTGAATTATATCCAAGTATAAATTTTGTTTTTAAATCCTTGATGTTTTAAAACCTTGATTTTTAAAGATTTCCCTTTTATCCAGTTAGGCTGTGATTCTAAACATGCTTTCTTGGAAGCTCCACTGACATCAATAAGCACTGGATATTTAAAAATAAGCTTTTTAAAAAAAGCCTGAAACCCAGTGGCAAGTCTTAAACAAGGGTTCCAAATTTTGTGGGGAAATTTGTAATTGAAGCACATACTGTTCTTTCACTGATGAAAAGCTGCTACAGATATATAGCATGCTTATATGCCAGCATTCTGTGTTAATTTCACCCATACTGTAGGTTCCACTATGTACAGCCAAAGCTTGAATGGTGGCAGTTAACTAGAATTAGATCAAAAGACTGCACACTGTGCTATCTTTTAAAGTCTTGAGATAAGGCTAATGAAGACAGCACTGTCACCTTTCTTTTCAGTAATACTTTAACAGAAATGATTTAAGTCTAAGCTTTATGGTAGTGTTTTCCAGAAAACCCAAAGAATTATTTTCTGGTAAAAATGTGTTAAACTTCCTCAAACAGATCCAGTCCCATCAGCAGTGATGATTAACAAGATATTTGTCTTGTAAAAAGTATTCCTGAAACACTCCTTTCCTCTTGCCTGATTCACTCAGCTGAGCTGCTGTCCAGTGTTTGTGACACTACAAACAATTGCTTGTACAGTGATCATTTCTGACATCATAAACACTGGGTTGTGGTTTCTTTGAATGAATGAATGAATGAATGAATGAATGAATGAATGAATGAGCGACCTCGGCAGCTGGCTGCTGCCTAAGTGAAAGTTTTCATTCCTAAATACCTTGATGAGCAGCCATGAGGAGAACGGAAATGACAAGTGGGCTTGGTTTTGGCAAAAACATAATGACCCATAGTTTGAAAGAGCAGCTGTCTCTCTAAAGTATTACAGCTCTGAGATCCACATAGGAATAAAAATCTCAGTGTTTATGATTCTGTCCTTACCTCACCCTGTATTGCCCAGTTATTTCAAAACAGATGGCACGAAAGATTTCTCATACACAGCTTAAGAAAGA